TCATCGCTCACTCACCGCACATTTCTCTCCATCTCTGCGTATCCTTAAGTGCTGTCTAAATCAGCGATGGCAGCTCTTTTCAGAGTTTCGATCGATGCCCGACAAAGTCCTTGAATTATGGCAGATTCCCTTTAAAGGGACAGCGGGGCTAATACCGCAGCTAAATGGCTGGTTAATGGGTCTTCAATTAAAAACATTGGCGAGGTGATAATGGATAGGCGGCCCAATGTAAGGCAGTGCTAGGCTGGTGTAGGCATGCACGGTAGGTCCAACACTTTCCCCGCATCTCAGTCTTAGTGCATTGATCGGGTATTCCCGGAGCTAGGATGTGCAATACGCCTCAAAGGGTGTAGTGTAGTTAATAACAAAACTTTATTGTCGTGGCTGCAAATTCTAAACATGTTTTCAATATCTGCGAATTTGATATTTTTATTTTTATTTTATTTTTTAATAACCAATACTGTCTTCATTTATTTCCAGTGTTCTTAGCTTGTTTTCGTGGTCAACAATATTTGTACTTATTTTGTTTTCTTTAACGTGTGTTTTTCCCCAGGCGTATATATCATACTGAATTGCAAGAGCTTAGCAGGGACTATAATATTAGACTCTAAACACTAGCGCCCATATTGAGGATTGATTTTTGCAATTATTTCAACTAACAAATCAGCCTTTTTTTTTTTTTTTACATTTCTTCATATATTCATTTTTTTTTTTTTTTTTTTTAATAATTTTTTTACTTTTTTTTTTTTTTTTTTTGTGTGTTTTTTCCTTGTTGTATATATTATACTTATTTTTTTTTTTTTTGCAGGTTTTTTAATTTTAGACTCTAAACACTAGCGCCCATATTGAGGATTGATTTTTGCAATTATTTCAACTAACAAATCAGCCTTTTTTTTTTTTTTACATTTCTTCATATATTCGCAATTAAAATAATGTAAAGTTTACATATATAGAAAAGTTTAAGGACCTATAAGCAACAGTGTTTATGTTGGTGGAGAGAGGAGAGCTATTGTCAATGTCTTGTGTAGATCAGGAAAAGTATTACGCATAAAGCAATTAAAGCCTGCCCATAAATGTGTTGAAAACCGTTGCTTTACTAAAGGATAATAAATGAAGGACTGCGATAATGCTGCATGAAGGAAATCGAAGAGCCAGGTAACATGTATGTGGACGCTTGAAATAGAGACACAGGACAATAGAAGACATTTAAAATCATACAACGCTCCTCCTTTATTGTCCAGTCTTTCTGTCTCAAGCCTCCGCACACCTGGTTCTTCTATTTGCTTTTTTTAAACACGACAAACTGACCAATGCATTAGTTTCAAATTGAGCTAATTTCTGTACGATACAAAAATCATGCCAGGTCCGTCTGTTAACCCTCTGCAGACCAAAAAAAAAGGAACAAAGGCGTTTTGGGGAAAACTTTTCAAATCAGGAGGGGGAGGAGGCGCGGGAATCCGGGGCTAGCAGACGAGTGTATCGACAAAATGTCTTGCGTAGTGTGATAGCAAATGTTGATATGTTCACTGGACGACTGCCCTAAATCTCGAGGCAACCCCCCCCCCACATACCCACACAGTCACCCATAACACAGCTAATGTTGAAGTAGCTCATGTGTCAGCTATTTCAAGAAACTGTATCTGTTGACTTCGGAAGGCTGGACACATAATCAGGAAGTGTAAAAAAAAAGGGGGGGGGTGTAGTATGGTGGGTGGAGGGGGTGGTGGGATGCGGCGGCGCCGTGGAATGATGTGTCACGAATAGCTGTTCTACTTGGCAAAAAAGAGTTATTTCCCTCACCCCGTGTCATGTTTCCCCGTTGTGTAGGCCAAGTGTGTACTTTCTTTGAAATATTTTGTTTCTCTATATTACTCAGGTAGGTCCACTTAACATTTTAGGAGCGTCACGCCTCATCTCGATCAAAAAAATCTGTTTTAAAAATAATCCACCCTCTCATCCCCCCGCCCACTGTGATAAAAAGTAGAGTCATATCATTCACTTTATGTTGTAAAAATTGAGCAGACATAACCAATCAGCCAGTTTAAAAATCTCTCATTTTATCATTTTTTATTTTTCGATTTGTTATTAATTTTTGTGCAATTTATTTTGTTGCATTTTATGCTTTCAATATATATATATATATATATATATATATATATATATATATATATATATATATATA